TACAAGAATAACTCAACAACAAATAATCAAATTCAATAAAAAATTTTAATAGTTTTTTATACGTACCGGCGTTATTTTGAATTTCGGCCCGAATTATGCCTAATTCAGGCCGAAGTTCGAAAATACACCCTGCGCGTTATTTCGCGGTTATAGCGTCGATGCCAAATTTGGCTTAAAATACTATTGTAATTTTTTATATTACAACAACAACTTAAACTATAAAATTCACATGATCTATATAAATCAATATCAGCGATTCTAAAGGATTCAAAAGCCTGAAAAGTGAAACATCATGGCAGTTCATCTCGTGCAATTTAATTTTTTATACTGGGAAGTCTATTGACTGATTATACTGTTTATGAATCAATTTATCATATCTACAGGTAATATGAACCGGGTTTAAGTTGTTAGAGTATATAAACAAGTTGATATTTTTTTATGCATTCTAAAAATTTTAGTTTACAACCTACTGTATATAGTATAAAATTTATATGTTATAAACCGGTTTCGATAATACTGTTTAACAAATTTCTCCTTATCAATGTGCTCGTATTCATAAACTTTTGACAAATATTTTGGCGATTCATACAACATGGTTATAATCTAAATACAGAAAAAATCTGTGGGGTATGTACCGATTTGATCTAGCTCTGAGACACGTCCGCTCATTTGCTCGTTATTTAAAGAAAGTGAGTTCTAATAGTTTCGAAATCAATTTTGATCATAAATTTGATCACAATGAGTGGCAAAATTAAAGTCCGCAAACTAAGAAATGGATGAAAATTACGAATATTATCGTCAGCATTTTACAACTCTTCGTTTAATTAATCCAATTGCAACTTTTTCTAACCAACCAAAAGAAGTTCATGATGAATTAATAAGAATAAAAAATGACAAAAATTATGGAGATAATTATTTAGTGGCAGCTCAGAGATATATTAATAAAGGTACAAATTTTATTTATTATTTTATTATTTATCAAGACGGTGATTGATGAGTAATTTTTTGTTATTAATAGAAGTAAAAAGTTCAACGAATAGATCATTAATTAATCAAGATTGCTTTTAGTCTTTAATAAGAACAATGAGCAATTCAACGGATGAATCACAAGATTGTTCTCGGTCTTCAGTGAGTATTCTCATTTATAGCTTTATTTATATACCTGTGAGCCTAAAACTGCTACAATTATATGGCCCTTATAGAGTTTAGATACCCAATCCAGAAGATCCTCTACAATTGAAGAAAATATTCTTGTCAATAATGACGATCAGTCAAATAATATTCAACGTGAAAACTCATTAATCTCAGGTTCCTCCTCGGTTATTCTACCTTCCTCTTTTTCAAAAAGAGATGTTAGTACTTTAGTTGATCAACATGTAGTTTTAATCTATCCAAATAGCGAAAGTCAGCACTTAACAAATGAAAAAGAATCAAATTCAATCTAGCAACAAAACCAAGAAGTTAATATAATAACTTGT